TTATAGATTTCAAAGTGAACCTGGAGATTTGTTTTTCGCCACCTGCGTTCAGCTTTTCGACATTCTCTTTTTTCTGTTTTCACGGTCATGGCCTTTCTCCATGGAGATATTTTCTTGCCAGACACTTCCTTTACCTTAGTTGGAGCAATGGCATCTATAACGTTTTACATTTTTTAATTAAAATGATCTACTAGCTCATTTACTGAGATGTTAGCAGGGGCAAGTGTGGAAGAAAAATTCTGAGTAAACATTTCCCTAGTATTTTCAGTTAAATATCGCTTTGTGGTTACCTCTTTTTGAACATTTTTGTGAACAGAAATAGAGCTCTCAAAGAAAACACAGGAATGGTCAGAGAGTGCAACATCAGTCACCACAACCTTAGAGATATTCAGACCCTTTGAGATAATTAAGTCCAGAGTGTGCCCCTTATTGTGCGTGGGCTCCGTCACATGCTGAGTCAGTCCATAGCTATCAAGAACACAAAACAGTTCTTTAGCCCCTCTGTCCTGGGGGTTGTCAACATGGATGTTAAAATCACCAACCATGACTAGACGGTCAAAGTCAATACACACTATAGACAGCAGTTCAGTAAAGTCATCAACAAAGCTTGCACAGTATTTGGGTGGTCTATAGATATTTAGGATCAGAGCTCGAGAGGAGCATTTCAGCTGAAGGGCCACATATTCAAAAGAAGCAAAGTTCCCCTAAGATGTCTTCCTGCATTGAAGGGAATCATTGAACAGAATAGCAACTCCACCCCCTTTCTTATGCATTCTTTCCTGACTCATAAAACTAAAGTTGGGAGGGGTTGATTCGATAAGAACAGCTGCACTGTTATTTTGTTCAATCCAAGTTTTTGTTAAAAACATAAAATCAAGATTGTGCTCAGTGATAAAATCATTGATTACAAATGTTTTTCCTGCCAAAGACCTGACATTTAATAAAGCTAGTTTAAGTTCGTTAAACACACTATCAGTCAGGTTTTTTGTAACAAGCTGTGGCTGACATGGAATCACTGCTAAATTTGATAAACTCACACAAACGTTTGAGCGCTTATTCACTGCTCTTAATCTATTACCTATCAACACAGATATCGGCAAAGCTACTGGCAGGAAGGGCCCCGGCATGTCCTGGAAAAAGTTGAGAGTGCCATACGCCCTTGAGCCTGGACCCAGCAAATATCAGTTTGCAGCGTTTTGTACACACACATCCCTATCAGGCTTTGAAGGGGAGGGAGGACCCACCACCCTGCTCCTCTCATCATAGGAGGGCAGGGTGAGGGCTACACTGTAACTTGGTGACTGGAATCCATTCCTTGTCTTCAGTGATTTTGGTGGGCGTCGTTGAGGGGCGGGGGTAAAGGACATGCTGCCAATCCTGCGTGTCGCCTTCATGCGGTCATCGAACTCCAGGGGGAGGGCGAGGGTGAAAGGGTGAGCGGAGAGTAGAGAGAGCTGGGGGATGAATGAAGAGTATCCTCAAAGGCGTTGACAGGGGGGGTGATGGGCAGTGGAGACTCCTCCATTTGTGTCATCGGTCTCCCATAATCAGAACATTCCTCAGGCGGGTGCAGTGATACTTCTTCAGGGTTTTATGCGCGATGTGTTGTTTCTTTCCCCTGTTTTGATTCCTCTTGCCGCTTGTCCTTGGCAGAGGGAACAGATTGATGACGCAGGCAGTTGAATATGTTAGAGATAAACAATTTCACTCCTGACTTGTTCAGGCAAACTCCATTTGCCTCATAAAGATGTCTGCGATCCCAGAAAAAGTTAAAATTGTCAATAAAATGGACAGAATGGTCAGTACAGGCAGTTGAAAGCCACGTGTTCAGTGAAAACAGTCTGCTGAATCTCTCCACTCCTCTTCTGGCTGGCGGTAGAGGGCCAGTGATGAACACCTCCGCATTTAGAGAGCTGACAGTTTCCAACAGACATTTAACGTCTTAATTCAGCATTTCTGACTGTTGTTTCACAACATCATTTGTTACAATATGTAGTACCACATTCTTCACAGTCGGATGTTCAGCCCCAATATGCAGGATCTTCTCAGCCAAGTCAGAGACCACATCCTTGGTAAAACAGAGTACTTTGGTATTGTTCTTACTACACAGACCTTTCACATCTCTTACAGCAGAGTCACCCACAATCAGAGTTTCAGGCCCAGTCGTTAGCTTTCCCTCTAGCCTTTTACTTTTGGAGTAGCTATTGGTCCTTACCCTGCTGTGTGAAGAGGATAGGTTATCCAGGTCATCAGGAAGAGATCTCCGGTTCTCGGTCAGCGGAGCGTATCTGTTCTGGATTGGCACACTTGGTGGTTTAGGAGGATTGTTTGTAGTTCTCCCTTTAGCAGCTGTCCACGGCTGTTTCCTAGTATGATTAGGGGTTAAAGAGGCAATCTTCCTGGGTGATAACAATGCTGGCCAGCCGGTCGCATCACAGATTTCAGAGCGCTGGGCTCTGCCTGTTATTCGTCCTCCCAAATCCCATGGAAATGATTTACTCTTAGGCTTTGCTCCCAGAGAGTTCCAGGGAGAACTACCACTTGTAGATTTATTACCCAGTACACTGTTAGGATTCCCGAGAAGTGACTGGAGATGAGAACCCGCTATGCAAGCACTAAAACTGAGACAGTGGTGAAGTGTAAAAAAAGGCTTTATTTTGTCCACGACACTGACAAGGAGTTGACGAAGAGAATGTAGAGGGAAGACGTGGAGCTGGGCTGACCAGGAGGGGAGGCTGGACGTGGATCTGGAACAGGAAAAACAAGCAGGATTAGGAAATAATTTCCTTTCACAAGGAGCATCAAAAAGTCACTAGGAAAAACACTAGTAGGCCTGGACGATAGTTTACCACTGAAGAATAAACGAAGAACTGGCAAAGTCTGAGGATGGAAACCAGGGTTTTAAGCAGGTGCAGGTGAGTGGTGGCAATCAGTGAGATGAGCATTAGCTGAGGAGGTGAGTTGGCGGGAATCGGAATGTAGGTAGCCACGCCCAGCCAGGAAGACAGACACACAGATAAACAGACAAAACAAACACAGACAGGGGAAAAAGAAGGAGGAAGTACTGCAGATCCTCACATACACAGCCCTCCTGTTCCTTGGAATCATTGTAGCTGCTAACTTTTGCAACACTGGTAAAGTGGTGTCATTCCCACAACATAGTCCATTCACTTCCATGTTAACTTCCAACCGTTGCATTTTCATTTCCAACACAGCCATCTTCTGTAGAAGTTTGTGGAAGTCATCTGTAGAGAACGGAGTCATTTTGCTACCAACTAGCTTAAGCTAAATAGCATGCAGTAGCTTACCAGGCTTTAGCTGTTGCTAGGCCACGCTACTGTAAGACTGAGGTCGTCGTAAAGATGTTGAAATATGGCTGAAACCCTCCGTCTATTTACGAAGAATAACTGTCCCAGTGATAAGTTAATGTCCAGGAGCTGCTGCTTGAAGTTTTCAGAGAATAAGAATAGGAAAATCAGCATAAAAAGTAAGCAGAGGCAAGAGCAAGTGGAAAAGTGTCTGCACCGTAAGAAAGATAAGATAGAGCTGTTGGATCAGAAAACACCAGGTTTATGAAATCAAACAGCTTCACTGAATCAAAGTGTTGATGAAAAGACAGTGTTTGAAAACCTGACAGTTGAAATTGGCAAAAGTCGAATAGTCAAACTTAGGTTTTATTTATTTCTATCTTTTACCATTAAGACAATAATGACCTTCAATTTGCAGAGAGATTTGATTTATTGATATGTTGCTCTAAAAAACCCACAAATCAAAGGGATAACCTTTTGCAAAAAACAAATGTCTAACATGGTCTGGAGGTGTTAAAAGACAGACATTTTATTTAAAAAAAATCCCTTTCCCTCTTTTTTTCTTTATTTGGATGACAAGTCTCAGTGTCTGAGTAAACAAAAAGTGCCCTTGACTATAATATACACTTTAGGTATTATAAATAAGAGAGTGATGCCGTTTCCTCTTTCTTTTAGTACTGCATCTTTACTGCTCCTGTCGGTTGAAGTTTAGGATTGTGACATTTCAAAAAGTACAATTTAAATCCTGATAATGCCCAAACTTTAGTACAGCAATTACTGGGATTTGGAGGACTACAAAGACACACCTGCACAAATTAAATCTGTATATTTTGATAACCAGGTTCCTAGTTGATGTCTGGCCTAGGAAACCACAACAAAGGTCCAGCTAAACAAAACATGCATTTTTAAACATGGTCCACTTTTAAAACTATAATTTCCTTTTGCTTTAATTGAGCTACTTACCGTCATATTGTGAAGGATTTGGAGAGTTACAATGGGTGTTGGAAAATCATTACGGCCCAGGATGACAATATAGTATAGCAATATAACATAGATTCATTGAAGTATTAATGTTTTATTAGAAAATAATTAATATGGCAAATACAAATCTAATCAAAAGTCAGCCAGATAGACAAGTTAGTCAAAGCAAAGATGGAAGATTACTCTTTTGCATTTGAAAAAAAAAGGTTGAAACATATGCTAATGCAATGTTTAAAATTGCAAAACAATCTGATTGTATTGTGAGAATGGTTAGAGGGTAATGGGGTCTTGGGTTTTACAACAACAAAAAGTAACCACATTGAAACTTTCCTAATAAATCGAGAATATTCTTCTTTTATCGAGCTACAAAGAAGCTTATAAAATTAGTGCTCAGATGTTGGTACACTATGTTCAGACTCCTAGTGATGATAACAAGGCAATCTTGCCTCAGTAATATTTGCACAAAGATCCCACTGTGTCACAGCTTTACTTTGTTTGTCAGCAAACAGAAGAGCTCGGTTTGCTTCATGTAAAGTTAGCATCAAGGCACTTAATTTTTATCTCAAACTTCAGAAGAACGTGTTCAGTGTGCGTTCGTGCTCGCCTCTGATCACAGCTAAGAAACACTTTGTGAGAACTTGTTAAATGTGGAATCTCTCCCTCTTTTTTTAACTTTCTATAATTTCCTTTCTCTCACTTTCTTTCTCACAGGCCGACTGTCTCTCCAGAGAATACCTTCGCAAACACTTCCCAGCTGCAGATACATGATGCAAAGAATGAGGTAAGTGATAAAATGCACTAAATACACTTTGATGCACACAGATATCAGATGTCTATGTGTGCTACCTCTGGGAGAGAGGAGTGATTTACACGGGCTTAAAATAGGCTTTAGCAAGTGACTCATCCAGGAATTTCCCCAAATCCGTAAGCAAAGCCAAGTTTGTTGATAGAAAGCCTAATCATTCTCATCTAATTTGCTCTTTAAATTATGCAAATTACTTGTAGAAGCAGGATAAACCCCTAAAAAAACTGAAGATTGTTTAAGATTTATCTCTAAAATTCCTCTTTTAACTGGAGCATAATAGGTACAGAGAGACAGTAAAACAGAAGAATAGTTCAAATGTATGGAATTAAACAAATACAATACACTGTAATCTGCATAGTTGTGGTTCGAAGCTCTGTAAAGACCTGAGCAGGCGTCCTGTTTCAGTGACTCTCTTACTTCGAGCTGCAGCACAGGGTGAACTTAAAGACTTTAAGAGCCTTTGACAAGTTCTCTGCATTTTCGGAGGGGTGTGGAAGGGGCAGAGGTGAGCCTAGGACGCCCGAGGTTAAGCAGACATAGAAGCAGAAAGCGAGATGGAACGGTGAGGAGTGAAAAAGCCTTTGATCCTGTGATTCTCATCTGAAATAACAGGCTGCGCCGCTCAGTTCGGCCCTACACCTTCCTCATTACTGATCAAAGCCGCGGACTGCTTGACACTTAGATGCTGCGAAAACTCAATCAGCAATCCCTCTTACCCCGCGAAGACAAGTACTTCCAAACGTGCACAGAATGCAACACTCCGGACCCAGAGTGCAGCAGCTCACACTCACAGGTTTTGCTCACACGCAGGCCTACGAGGCTGTGTGCACTCTCTCACACATCCCTCACCCTACCCCACTGGGAAACATAATGGGGTGTCCGTGTTCATCCACCCAGAGGCTCCCTAACGTGGAGAATCCTCAGAGCGTGCTCCGCTCTTTGATCATCCTCTCTACAAAGAGACAGAGACAGGGAGAGATGCTTTGTGCTGAGTATGCAGAGCTGCAGCAGGTTCCTACTGTATAGGCCTCGACCCAGCTCTACCCTCTCACTCAGTCAACAGGCTGCTGCAGGTACCATCCATCAGAGACTACACCTCTGCAGCTAGTGAGCCACACACTTCAGGCTTGGGATCTCTTAATTTACATTGTAGCAGGACTAAATCACCAAGACAGATTGCTTGGGGGGTAAATGACTTAGCAGGATGTCCCAAAACTACTTTGAGGACATAATAATCAAATTGTCCTGTTCCTATTTGTATTTTCTGCCTCTATTGTAACATGTTTCCGTGCTTTAAACCACTTAGGGATGTCACACCCCTTAGCCAGGGTTGGGTTTGTAACGGAATACATGTAACGGCGTTACGTAATCAGAATACAAAAATCAAGTAACTGTATTCAGCTGGCGTTACATTTGAAAAACGAGTAATCTGATTACAGTTACTTTCGTAAACCTGAAGTGAATACATGTTGGATTACTTATTGGAGGAAAGATTTCCTCACAACATTTAATATTCATTACTAAAGGTACAGCCGAATCATCACAGCGCACAAAACCTATTACCGCGCAGATGGACCAAAAAAGGGAGCGTTTGAAAAAGATGTGCGGGTCCGCTCAGTGAAACAATAATAACGAAACATGGAGGAACAAAGGTCCGCGTTTAAATCGTGTGTGTGTGTGTGTGTGTGTGTGTGTGTGTGTGTGTTTGTGTGTGTGTGTGTGTGTGTGTGTGTGTGTGTGTGTGTGTGTGTGTGTGTGTGTGTGTGTGTGTGTGTGTGTGTGTGTGTGTGTGTGTGTGTGTTGTGTGTGTGTGTGTGTGTGTGTGTGTGTGTTGTGTGTGTGTGTGTGTGTGTGTGTGTGTGTGTGTTGTGTGTGTGTGTGTGTGTGTGTGTGTGTGGTGTGTGTGTGTGTGTGTGTGTGTGTAGAGGTGTGTGTGGTTAAAACACATCAGCCACACCGCTCTTTAGCCTTTCTAATGATTCTGAAGGTAAACACAGTGAAGGCGGTGCGTGAAAGGCGGTGCGTGAAAGGCACTGCGTGCTCGTCTTCTCAGAGGCTCAGTTAACCCCCCGCTGCCTCCTGGTGCTGCAGAGATTTCATGAAGTGAAGGAGGTTTTCCTTCTATAAAACAGCTGCGGGCAGCAGATACTGTGAGAGTCACAGACATGAATACATAGATCAAAGCAGACTGGTGCACACACTCCTGTTTTGCCAATCCGGTGCTTGAACAAATATAGCTCTACTCCCATGGCCGAAATGTCCTTAAAATGAAGTCCGAGTTCGACATTTTAATTCATGTCCTGCCAACACTGGCAGGACAGAAGGCGACACGCCCGTTCTAAGCCGTGTCCCTCACTCCTCACATCCCAAGCTGCATCCCCCAAAAGTTTATTATGTTGTTACATCGTTTCAGATGTTATGTTTCAGTTGTGCTCTTGATAAGCCATTAAAACAGTAAAAACACGTTCAGTTTCCTTTTGCTTTTTGTGTCTCCTGTACACCAAAACATACCCATCTGTGATGGAAAACGAAAGTAATCCAAAAGTAATCTGATTACGTTCACGAGATACTCGTAATGCCCACTTGGGGTGTTAAAAGCAGTTTTCCATTCATCCCCCTCCCTTATTCTCACCAGATGATAAGCATTTCTAAGATCTAACTTGGTAAAGATCTTAGCACCTTGTAACTGGTCGAAAGTTGATGACATAAGAGGAAGGGGATACCTGTTCTTGATGGTAATGTCGTTCAAACCTCGATAGTCAATGCAGGGGCAAAGTGACTTGTCCTTCTTTGAACAAAGAAAAATCAGGCTCCAGCGGGAGAGGAAGAAGGTCGAATTAATCCAGCGGCAAGTGAAGACTCCTCACATATTCCTTCATCGCCCGTGTCTCTGGAGCAGATAGGGAATAAAGACGACCCCTGGGTGGTGAAGAGCCTGGTACCAAGTCTATAGCACAATCGTACACACGATGAGGGGGCAGCGAGGTGGCTCTGGCCTTCTTAAAAACCTCCTTACGGCCCCTACACACGGCGGCGTGCGTTACCGCTTGGCGGTGGGCGTGTCTGAAGCTTGGGGATTTTTTACGAAAAACGCGACCAACAACCAATCACATGAATGTCCCGCCCCGGACATACAAAGCAAAGCATTCATGCTACATCCATGCTGGCTAAATATACTGTCTATGCTTGCTAGCTGTCCATTCAAACGAAGTACACTGGATATAAACTCCCCAAAAAGGCGAAAACCTACCAGTGTCACCCACTGTCTCTGCCACCTCCCCCCATGCCTGGCTCCTCCGGTTTGTATCCATGTATGTAAAGAGGGACTGGTCATATAGTACCGCCACGATCTTTTTCTCCTCCATTTTTTTACATATGGGAAATAACTGCGGTCTGGCTCTCCCAACATACACGCGGTTTGATTGGCTAGCGCTTGTAATGTCAGATTTGCATACGCGGGATTTGATTGGCTGACGCCTCCGACGAGGCGGCAAAAGTAGAACATTGCTCTACTTTTGCAGCGAGCACCGCGAGAGAAGCTACGCTTTGCTCCCACAATGCAGTTCGGCGAATCGTGACGTCACCCCATTCAAAGTGAATGGGCAGAAGCGTTGAAGCGGCAACGCACGCCGCCTTGTGTAGGCTCCGTTAAGGTCATGGTAACACTGAGGGACCTTGGAAATGTCAGGGAAATCAGGATCTGAAATGTCTTGAATTACAGGGACAGCTGGAGGAGCAGTCAGGGAACATTTGGACGGAAAACAGGTACTTAAACATCCCTTACACCAAGCAATAATTTTGCCAGTGGACCAGTCTATGTGGGGGTTGTGTAGGGTAAGCCAGGGGTACCCCAAAATGATTGGGTGTTCGGGGGACCGAAAAACATGAAAGACGAGAAGCTCAGTGTGACCGTCCTGGAAACTTAGCTGAAGAGGTTGGGTGTGGTGAGTTACCCTACAGAGAAGACGGCTATCCAAGGCATTTGCTTCCATTGGTGTTGGAAGGGGGAAGGTGTCAAGGTTCAGCTTCTTAGCCAATACAAAGTCTATAAAACTGGCATCTGAGCCAGAGTCTACCAAAACAGGATGCCTGAGAACCACAGAAGACGAAGAAAGAGTGACATTTGGGAGACAGCGTGAGGGACTAACATTAAGTGTAGTGCGGCTCACCAGTGCCCTCTTCTTTACTGGCGAGCCAGATCTTTTAGTAGTCGACAGTTGGCGACTGAGTGTCCCCGTTCACCACAGTAGAAGCACCTGCCCTCCCGCAGGCGGCGCTGTCGCTCTTCAGGGGTCAGCTTGGTCCTGCCGAGCTGCATGGGCTCCTCCGGAACATCAGGGGGCGACAGAGGCCCTGTAGACAGAAGCCAAGGCCTGGGGTGATTCCATGAGGACGAAGAGCTGGGTGAAGACTGCCTCTTGTGGGAGAAACAGGGAATCGCAGTGTCTCTCTCTCGCTCCCTCTCTATCAGTCGCTTGTCAATCTTAATAGTCAATGAAATTAGGGAGTCCAAATCAGCTGGAAGCTCAAGAGGAGCTAACCGATCCTTTCTAAAATGGCGGCGCCCAGTGAGGCTGCGGCTGTACCGGTTTACGACAACACAGGACTTTTTTGTTTAAATAAACCAGTTTTTAGGCTAAATACACCACTCAAAACAATGGCGTTAAATGCTAGAGTAGTGTATGATCATCAATTAATGATCGATCTGCGAAAAGTCTTGGCCCACAGATCTGGTGACGTGGCAGCTCTTAGAACAGCAAGAGCCAACCTGGACCATGCCATCAGAGATGCAAAGCTCGCTCATAGCCAAAAAATCCAGAGTTTCTTCCATGACCCCATGGACAGCAGGCGCATGTGGCAGGGCATTCAGTCCATCACTGGATACAAGGCTGCTCCACCACCCTGTGACAATGATACTATATTTCTCAACAACCTCAATAATCACTTAATAACACCACTGCAATGAAAGCTGTCCC